AAAAAAAAAAAAAAAAAAAGGAGGGGGGCAATTGGAGTGGGCTTCAGAGGCAACCAAGTAGGGTTAAATGTGTCAATGTAAGTGTTTTGGGTTATGGGGTTGAGTTTGGTTTCAATTATAAGTTTGCAATTTGTTGTTAATTTATCTGTCAATGTAGCTTAAATATTTTCACTGTGATCTTCAGTTTTGCAACCTTTCAGTGTATCCTTTTTATAATTATTCGGTGATCCAATCGTCATCTTACTTCTCCAGTCATTGTGAAAGGTGGTGTCAACTATATATCACTTTCCAATTTAAAGGTAGCCGGCAACAATGGCTCTTCAAGTAGCAAAGAAACAAATAAAAATTCTTGAATGCTACACAAGCTTACAGTCAACTACGGATTTGTGCTTCAGAAATTATGTGATTGATGTGTTTAGCTGCTGGCGAACAGAGTTGAATGTTACATGTTTGTAGAATGGATTTTAATGGTTGTAGCTTCTCTTGTGGGTGTTAAGTTTGCTGCTGGGACGTTTAATGTTCGGCAGCAGTGGTTTTTTCGTAATGGTGTTCGAGTTTATTATTTGTTTACGAATATGTTGTGTATGAAATTTTGTTTGTTGTGATGATGCATAATTTGTTGTTCAGTGTTAGATGTTGTTTAGTGTTGGATGTTTGTTGTACTAGTTAATATATATTTACCATGTATTGTTGGGTAGGAGAGCATGACTGCCAGAGACCAACAGATCACATTAAGGCCAAACAAACAAATCATCCATCAAATCACAAGTAATAACCAACTGAATCCAGAGGGGAAAGAAAAATAATCCTTCAAATCATGCAAATCATAAATATGAAAACATATCAAGTTAACCATATAGTGATCCAAAAACATAATGTAGTCACTTCCACTTCAAAAAGATTGGCCAAACAGATCAAACGATAACTAGAAAGACAAAATTCGAAGTGCTGCCAAGAAGCCGCCAAAATCAAGGCAGTCCAGGATAGGATGCATGATTCTGGACTCCTATCATTTTCTATTCATCGGCGAATGTTGTCTTCTTTCCTGTAATAAAGTCGCATCGAATTCAATTAAAACAAACACACGAGAAAACAAACAAACAGTGCATAACTGCCAAAGTCCGACTTTCTTTCACATGCTCTATTACTAGAGTATGTATTCTAACGCAAAACCAAACATGCATTGCAGGCATACCTGAACAAAAGAATCAACTACAAACATAAAAAAAAAAAGGAAACAAAAAAAGATAAAGAAATATATGAGAGCATGCATACCAGTTCCAGGAGCAGCCAAATTCGGCTTATTGGAAGGTCCTCGACCCCTACCACTACCAAATCGGCCGCCAGATCTACCACCAAAGTCCCCCCGGCCACGGCCGCCAGATCTGGCACCAAAACCCCGGCCACGCCCACCACCTCTGCCGCCACTGCCAGATCTAGAGTCACTTCTAGAGTTAGCAACCACAACGGTGAGGGTGGTGCCCTCACCAAAGTCGGATCCATTGAGTTCCAAAGCCTTGTTGAAAGCATCTGAATCCTTGAAGTCGATATATGCTATGCTGTGTCCACAAAATCACAATCAATCAGCCAATGGCACAAACTAGATCCTAGAAAGCAAAAATTTGTCTGAATGGACAGCATTTCAAAGCTATGCAAAAGCAAGAATATGATATCATAATTTAATAGCCAATTCTCTTTTTATAGATGAAAAGGAGAATAGAACATAAACAATAAAAAAATACGATGGGCCCCTCAGTAATAAAAATAATAATAATTTTGAAAAGGCAAGTATAGATTTCAGCAACAATTTTTGGAGTGAAAAGAATACAAACCCTTTAACAGAACCCTCTGCATCGCTGGGAATGGAAACTCTCGTAATTTCACCACAAGAACCAAAATGATCTTCCAATGAGCTCCTAACCTGGAATTTAATATTTGTTATTCCAACTGATAACTTATATGCTTAAATAACTAAAAAAGGGGTGCAATTGTGTGTAGAATACGTACCTGATCTTCACTGTAATTTCTATCAAATCCACGAACAAATACTGTCTGACCCTGAGCTCTTGGTCCCTTCTGGAAAGATTGTGAATCTCTGCCACTAGAGAAATCAAGGTACCTTTGGTTATGCGAACAAATACCATATGAAAATATTAAAGAAGCAACATGAAAAGTGCAGCCATACCCACTAGTTGGGGTGTATGCTCCCCTTTCCCTAGCAAGGTCAAGTCTCACACGACGGCCCAACAACTCCACATCATTCAGTTCATTCAAAGCCTACAAATATTTAAAATTTGCAAATTACAAAAATGATACAAATAATGAAGGACCAAGTCCATGCAATTATCGAAGGCAGGTGCGGGCAAGAATGATTAATTACAAGACAATGAAGCCTTAAAGAGAATTAGGTCAGCATCTGTTATATAAACTCTTTAGCATCTCTACACAGCAACCCATGCACTGTCAGTTGCATAACAAAATAGAGGGGTCTGAAGGAAAACAAAGTTGATCATGTGATACCGTTACAAAGTACCAAACAGAGAGACAATTAGGTGAGAATGTAGAAGTTCCAAGTTGCACATGCAAGGTGCAACCGGGGTTATAAATTTAAGTATATGACAAAATGACTAAATATTAAGAAGGATGCTTGTAGACATATAGCTAAAGATGACATCACTATAAGCATTTCCATGAGAACAGTTCTGACATATACCACAAGTGTGTCTGCCTTACAATATCTAACTACGCAACACAATTGAACAACAGCATGAACAAGAGCCCATTCAGCTACATTTGAAACGGACAAATACCTTCTGTGCTTGTTCAGAAGTGGCAAACTCGACATGACCAAAACCTCTAAATGAATTGTCAGCATTCATGCCAAAGCGAATATCAACAACTTCTCCAGCAGACTTGAAGAAATTCTCACTGAAAAAAGGTGTAAAAATGGTTAGATAAAAGAAGAACTCAAACAAACAATAATTTTAGATTACAATAATTGCAGGCTTACACATCCGCTCGCTCAACGGAGAAGGATAGATTCGCAACCCAAAGAGTTTTGGAGCCAGTTGACTGCTCTTTTGGAGTGCTTGGGGTCTGGGGCTGAGATATAGAAACAAAAACAACAATATAAACATGAGCCAAGAACATATTCAATAGACTACTTTCCAAGAAGAAAGCCCATTACTTATAAATAATAATCACAGTTAAATCAGGCACTTCATGGTGCAATTTAATTAACTCCTGTCCTCAGGCACAAAATATGAAACACATAATCCAAGTTGCTTAAATCACAGGAGAGTTCTGATAGATCCATGCAGTCAAGGGCAAAAAAATACAGGTGAAGAGATATCACTCACAGTTTTGTCAATCCCTTTCGCAGCATATGCCTTTGTAGCTGTTGCGTCAGTCATTTCCACATCAGTGTCCTGTATCAACAATAAACAATAAGCATGCATGTGAGCCAGAGAATAGAATAGCCAAATTTGATGTCACTTGTTCATTTTGTATGCATGCAGTAACAGCAAACATCCCACATGGAAAACACTCACAAACACTCATCAAAAGATTAAGAAGCATACAGCTTTCTTGGGAGTTTTTGGAGGTTTGTCTTCTTCCTCTGAAGATTCTTCATCAGATGATTCCTCTGAACTACTTTCCTTCTTTGAGACTGTGGCAGACTGCTAACAAAATTATTCAATGATTAGCTGAAACTAACAAGATATTTGCAAAGTCTCCATAATGCAAATACTTAATCACCTTCTTTGTCCCCTGTGTTTTTGTAGGTTCATCATCATCGGAACTTTCTTCCTCACTGCTGCTGTCATCTCCTGCAACACCCTCACTTGATTTAACAGCATTTGGAGCTCCAGATGGCTGAAAATTCAGACGACAGAAAATACATAACAATGAAAAAGGAACAATAGTTTGATTCCAATGCGGATGCGTTAGACTACCAGAACCTTGATCTTTTTCTTTTGAGGCTCCTCATCAGAACTCTCGTCTTCAGAGCTTCCATCCTTCTTTGCCTAACAATTACAGTTCAAAATGAATCATCTCAAAGCAAACAAAATGAACCATACCACTTAATCACCCTATGTCATTTGAAAAGTTCACCAAAGCTAAATAAAACCACTTACTTCAAACACAAACTGATGCGGGAACACCATACCTGTTTTGGTTCAGCAGTGGTTCTTTTGACAGCAGCAGCTTTAGGAACCTGCAAACAACATGAAAAAAAAAATGGAAGAAGAATGAGGATATATTATGTGGAAAGAAAATCCAGCACCACACATAATAGAATAATATGTCATGTCTAGATATAAGAACTTAAAATCCCAAAATCATCTAACACCAACAAATGTCATGGAAAAGATGCAATAGTAAGGTTATTAGCTAAAAAGTCTAATATTAAAGACCTCAATGTGATGCTGGATCCTACCCTCAATAAAGGATGAAATGAGAAAAAAACACAAAACTGCCGATAAATGGACCAGTTACAAATTACAAATAAAGAAATGCAACAAAAAATACTGATTGACAGAATACATGGGAGAATCGGTAAATTCATTTGATAAGAAAACAGCCCTTACATCCTCCTCTGAACTGCTACTATCATCTGACTCTGACTCCTCACTCGACTCATCCTTCTTTGCGACAGCTTCTGATTTCTTAGATGGTACATCTTCATCCGAGCTCTCATCGCTGCTCGAGTCATTCTTCTTTTTGGTAGCAGCTACAGGGCCCTTGTTTGCAGGGGGCACAGGAGCCTTTTTGGCTGGGGCAGCATCCTCTTCAGAATCGGTCTCATCTTCAGAAGAGTCAGAATCCTCACTGCTGGACTCATCTTTCTTCTTTGTAGACACTTCAACTTTTTTTTGACTCGCAGCAGGAAAAGCTTTCTTTGCTGCAGCAACATCCTCATCAGAACTGTCATCCTCGGATGAAGAATCAGAATCATCACTTGATTCGTCCTGCTTCTTGGCAGGAGCAGGAGCTGGGCCCTTCTTTGCAGGAGAAGCTTTCTTTGCTGCAGCCACATCCTCATCAGAACTGTCATCCTCGGATGATGAATCAGAATCGTCACTTGATTCGTCCTGCTTCTTGGCAGGAGCAGGAGCTGGGCCCTTCTTTGCAGACACTTCAAGTTTTTTTTGACTTGCAGCAGGAGAAGCTTTCTTTGCTGCAGCAACATCCTCATCAGAAGTGTCATCCTCAGATGAAGAATCAGAATCATCACTTGATTCCTCCTGCTTCTTGGTAGAAGCAGGAGCTGGGGCCTTCTTAAGGGCAGATTCTTCCTCGTCTGAACTGGATTCTTCTTCTGAGGAAGAGTCTGAATCATCACTTGCTACTGCCTTTCTGTTGGTTACTGGGAGGCCATTATTTGCTGCAACTGCAGGCTTCTTTGGGTCAGAATCCACATGCCCGTTCTTGGCACCAACCTTGACCTTGACCTGGTAAGGATTCATCCCACAAGAAACTTAGTTGGCGTCAAGAAAAATAAATTAACAAAATTCATGGATTTCATTGGTTTAAGATAAAATCAACAGAGCATTTAAAAATAGTTCAGAGAAAATCAAAAACAAAATAACTGAAGTGGAACAAAATCATCGATTTTATTTGAGTAACTTTCATAGTCTTTGAGAAAATGTTAATACTTTTTAACGACAGGAGTCGTACTTTGTATAATAACCTTTTTACATTGTTCACATAATTTACTGAAAGTATGATTTTTCACCTTAAAAGTATGAAACTCTACTTGAAAAGTATGACAAATCGCACATAACAAAAACACAGAAACTGTCTTATAGTGGCTATATTCAAAATCAAGCTGGACATACTCAACGAGTGGTCAGTTTCACAAAAAACATTGAGAATGGCAAAAGGCAAATCAAAAGGGGCAACAGTTGGTGACTTAAGATCCAAACCTTGGCCTCTTGCTCAGAATCTGAAGAAGTATCCTCTTCGCTCGAGGATTCCAGCTTCACGGGCTTCTTCTCAGGCTTCAACACACTCTTCTTCCCCTCTACTTTCTGTTTCTTAGCACTAACCACTTCCTTCTCGACAACGTCTTCTGCTTCTCTCTTGCCTGTCGGGCATTGAAATTCAAACATGCAGATAATAATCACATTAATTAATTATAAAAAACAAAAACATATTTGACACCAATAACCATCTTACAAGAAAACAACAACAGATAACCAGATTTTAACCCGGGAACATAAGAGGAGAGCAACTGAACAAGAGACTAAATGGCAACACACATACCAAAAGAACCCAGACCTGCTAAATGAGCATTATAAACCGTACAGAAAACTAAAAGGGCAAGGAAGACGACAAAGGGTTAACCGTGATTGCTAGCTAAATAATCAACCAAAAGAACCTAGGTCATAAACAAGAAAAGGGTAGTGCAGTGGCTAACCTTTCTTTAAAGGCTTGGTAGGAGCAGAAGCAGCAATGGCCGCAGGAGCAGATATCTTCAAAAAAAAAAAAAAAAGGCAAAAAATCAAGCGCATCAAGAACAGCTCAAACATATAAAAATGAACGAACTTGTTAAACAGAAGAATATTTGTTTTGTTTTTTTCTTTTTCAACTCACCTTAGAAGCAGATTTCTTGGAGGATTTACCCATAGAAGATATCTGAAGAAACGAATTAAGAAAAAAAAAATCTGCTGGAGGCAGCTGAAAGATAGTGGCCGGGTGATAAATTGAGAAAAAAGGGTTTTTAGGGTTTATGTCGAGCAGATATTTTGCTTAGACAGTGTGTGCGGGAATGGTAGGATAAGTGGTGGTGTGGCATTTTATAGTGTAGGGTTCGGATTCAACCACATTGTTTTTCCTATAGGAAGCCCAATGGCTTAGGTGTGATAAAGCTAAGACGCGTCAGGCTAGGAAACCCCGATAACATCATGATCCAGCCATGTCCCCAAGCTAGAGAGGGTGTTGGAACACGCTGAAGTCCTAACGAGGAGGAGGACGCTAAAGTAGTCATACAGTCAGCCGCAAAATTAGTCTTATGAAGTTAAATCACTTTGATTATGACAACAAATATAATTAGAAAGTATAAAAAATTATATATTATCAAACATTTTTTATACATAACACTCATGGCATGATTAGTGTAATGAAATGGAATTTGATAAGAATTGAATGAGTTGAAGAATAGAATGAACGTGGGAAATGAATTAACAAAGTTTTCCATTGATGTGTTTGGTATGCAGAAAAAATAAGACTTGAATGGAATGACACTCTCATTCTATATAATCATTTATCACTAATTTATTCAAAAAAAGTTATATTTATATTAATGTTATTTTTTTAATGATAATAATAAATTTATTTATTTCTTATAAAAAAATACTATATTTTGATAAGTATATTTTTGTATTGTTACTCATATATATTATATAATAAATTAGTGAATTGTGTATTCATATACATATTAACTAATACAAATATATCATTACATAAATTCATATAAACATATGTGGTCGAATATAATTTTTTATATTTTTATAATTCAATTTATGAATAAATATATAATATATATGATGTATAAAAATAAAAGAATATATTTTTAAATTATTTATGATGGGTCTCCTCCTAAATATGGAGTGAACCGAATGATATGAGCTCTGATATGTTGAACCGCCTCTAAATTGCCTCTGGGCCGTCGCAAACACCTGCAATAACTCAACGTCGAAAGTGTTTCTGCATAGAGCCTCCTACGCTCAAGTCAGTATCAAAAAGAGATAAGAGAGCTCTGATCAGTGGGAGCAGCAGCAGCAAGAAGATACAAATGAATGGAGAGAGTAAAAAGTACGATTTGGAGTTACCTCAGCCCCTTTTATAGAGGAGAATACTTACTTGACGTACCTAAAATGCCCTTAGTCGACCGGTCTGGTTGCCCAGCCTATTTGTATCCTAATTACTGTTCTAAAAATTGGCCTAGGCGCTAGGGATGCCTGGAAGCCTCCGATTTACACAAACCGGCAGAAAAGTCGGTCATGCGGCTAGGCGCCTAAACGGACTTGGCGGGCTCGGCGGCCAGGCGGTGCCTAGGCGGGCATAGGCGGACCTAGGTGCTCCTGGGCGGGCTCGGCGGCAATTTTTCACTTTTTATTAATTTTTTAAATAATAATTACATTATTTTGTTCTCATGTTTTTTTTAAAAATATATTAATATTATTATTTGGACTTAGGTATGTCGATTTATTATAAGTTGAGATAGTTTTATTTTGTAGGTAGTTAAAATAAATAAAAAATAATGTATTTAATATTGATTTCTAGGCTCCGACTAGGCACCGGGCCTAGGCGCTAGTCGAGCGCCTAGCGACTTTTAGAACACTGATTCTAATCACCTATTAGTCAGATCCGAGTCAAAAAATTTCATCTTATCCGATAAAGATTCACACTTTACTTAGTGGAATCGTTGGGAGATCCTCAGTTGTCATACACCTCAGCCTCAGAGGAGTAACGTTTCGACCCCTGGTAGCAGGAGGTCGACTGGGAGTTCACATGAAGGAATGTATTGGGAGGCTCTATTCTTGAGTCGTTCTCGTCTTCTAAACTAAGTGAATCGACTTCGAGGTCGTCCACCACGACTTTGACAGTTTGTGGAAGTCGGCCTGAGCACGTCGACTTCAGGATATAAAATATAAAAAGTTGTCTTCCCCTTAGTGTGATGTCATATAGACAGTCGACTTAGGCATGTCTAAGATATGTTGCTTCAATCCACTTGTGAATGACTCGACTTGTCATCCAGTCCAGTAACTAGCACTTAAACCGGTACATCATACTATGGCTATATCAATTTATAAATGCATTTTTTTAGTTTTTTATGTAAGTATTTAATATATTTAATTATAATATAAACAACAAATAAAAATATGTTTTTAAATTTTTATTTGAAATTTGTTTTCAAAATAATTTTATTTAATATAATTTAATCGTGATTAATAGTATATATATATTAATGTGATGTAATAATTTTGGATAATTTTGTTAAAAATAAATATCATTTTCAATGGATTTGGAATGGCTAAAATCATAGGTTATGGGAGGAATGAATAATCCTATAATAATAGAAATAGTGATTCCATGGTAATGGTCATTCCTTAACATCAAAAGATACCAAGTATAGGAATCGGAATAAACAAGGAGTAACCATTCCATTTATAGTTCATTCCCATTTACCAATCGTGCTCTCAAAGTTTAATTTTTGGAACTTTTTGTCACAAATTAATATTTTCAAACTTTTGTTGTTATTAACGTGGGAAACAACGGTATATAACTAGTCATGACTAAAACAAACCTCTTATGGCTAAAATGACGTCGTACCAAAGTCCATGTAGAAACTTTTGTCATTAGTCTTTTATTGTTTTTTTTTTCAGGTTTGCAGCTATGTGATGCAAATCTTAACAATTTAGCCCTCGTAGAGATTGAGACATTGCGACACGGACCTTCAGGACTATTCTACTATGCATTTTTTCAAATATGGGCAGTATTCATTTAAGTTCAAAGCGTCTGGTTTTGAATGAACTAAATTAAGACAATAAGGCTCTAGCTATCTTGCAGGATGCACTTCTTAGAAATATGACAGACGGACAGAGGGGGATGTAACTAAAAATTATTGCAGTTGTTGGCTCTGGTAGGGGGTGTATTTTACGTGTGCAGTCACAGTGGAACTGGTAAGACATACTTGTGGAGAACTTTAGACGCGGAGTTAAGATCAAAGAATCGAATTGTGATTTTGTGTTGCATTGAGTGGAATAATATCCCTTTTATTTCTAGGTGGAAGAATTGCACATTTTCGATATAGCATACCTCTTAATCTGCATGAAAAATCATATGGCGAGATTAATCAGGCTAGCCCTCTTATAAAGTTGATTATACGTTGTTCAATAATCATATAGGATGAGGCCTCAATAATGCACAAGAATTATTTCGAAGTTGTTTAAGCATCAACTCACGGCAAGCCTGTCTGGTTTGGTGGAGACTTCCAACAAATCCCACCAGTTCCAAAAGGGAGTCGTCAAGAGATTGTTAATGATACAATTAACGCTTCTAGCGTTTGGGGATATTGCATTGTATTTAGACTTACAAAGAACATGCGTCTTCAAGGCCTTTTCTATTCGGATAAACGTGACGAGCTAACTGGGTTTGTTGATTGGGTTGCGAGCATTGAAGATGGAACTATAGGGGGTCGAATGATTAGTTTTCATTGATTGACATACCAGATGATATATTATTAGAACCCTCTATTGATCAAATTGCTAAAGTTGTTGAAAGCACATATTAAATGTTCAAGAATGATATTCCAAGTTACTTGAAGCACAAGTCTCTACTATCACCGGAACTGGATATAAAAATCTATTGATCAATACAAGTTGTTGTTGAATTTGATTAAAAGTCGTAAATTTCAACTCTGACAATTCGAGTAAATCCAATTCAAATACCGATTTTTTTGGAATAACTCCACGCAGTCGAGTTCTTGAATACCATCAAATGTTCTATAACACCGAACCATGAGTTGCATTTGAAAGTAGGAACTCAGTAATGTTGTTGCAGAACATGGACCATTCTTTGAGACTGTACAATATGATATGTTTGGTTGTGACCAAAAGCTCAAATCATGTCCTTGAATGTAAGATACTTACTAGCTACCACGCTGATGATAAAGTGTTTATACCTTAATGACGATAAATCCTTCCAACATTAGAATACTTTTTAAGTGTATAAAAAATCCTCTTGTATTATATAAAATTTGCGCGTTTTGTCCTAATATTTTCAAAAAATGAGTCAAACTCCATTGTATATAACTTATGGTAGCACAATTCTCCCTCTCCGGCGTCATATCCCATTGTTTTTAATGGCATAAAAGGGCGGATATGCATGAAGACATTAAAAGTGGATATGACACATTTTTTAAAATACAAGGAGATAACACACACATTTAGTATAATACAAAGATATTTGGTATATTAAAAATCCTTTTTCAAGTTGACTATGATTCCTACGCAATGACTATAAACAATAAAAAACCCTTTTTTAAGTTGACTGTGGTTCCTCACTATGGTTTTTACGCAATGACTATAAATAAGAGTTAGTGTCGATCTTTATTCATATCGACTTATTCTTAAAGAAACCAATATTTTATCATGACTTGTTGTATATCAATTTCTCCGACATCACTGACCGAAAAGATCTAAAATTTTAATTTATAATGAGGATGACTTGCGACAAAATCAAACCAAAAAAATATTGTTTATAGAAAAGCGTTCAATAATATATAACTTTTTTCATATTTTGTATTTCTTTTATTGCCATAATGAAATGTTTATGTACAAAAATATTACATTTAAAATAAATTAAAAAAATAAATAAAAAGATTTTAAGGGACAAACTCCGCATGAAATGCTCACTAATAACTAAGTATACGGTATCATCAATGGATAAATATGATATGAAACTTGGTTCACAAAATAATAGAAATTTTATTCCTCTGAAGCGAACACGTTTTATCTTTATCAACATAAATTGTTAGTAGTTAATGCACAAAGATAAAATGGAAATTTACAATAACAAATTGGTGTACGTGGCTTTCAAGATACGAAAGCAACTGATAACCATACAACAGTGTACAGAAGTGTAATATTGATTCAGCATTACAAAACTGGAACCCATTCTTCAAATCCTGCACATTTACAAAACCGCTCAAAAATGTTGTATATAGATTTGTTGATCAACCCATAATAACCAGTGCACAACTCAGACCAATCATTCCAAATACCACTAAGTTTTGTATAATCTCCCACCTGAACTATTGAACTATGGTACCACAAGAAACATACCACTCTGTCATCGTGATCTTTAGATGTTTGTTGAACACAATAAGGACACATCTACAGCGTAATTTGACCTAATTTACAGCAAACAAGACAAAGGATACGTATACCTATAATCATATTCCTTGAGCAATGTCCGACAAAAAAATCATTTAAACAAATGCATTTTCCGCTTCACTCATGCTTTCCACAAGCAGATTGAAATGTCTGAGAAATTCAGGCTGATAACACAAACCAAACTCATACTAATTCTCAACTAAACGGCATATTTCTCCCTTCTCTTAGATAAACGGTGTGGTTGATTCGTGATAGCAGTTGTGACTTGTGAAGGTAGTAATCCAAGCATTCAAGTTGGAACAGAGCAGAAAAAACTAACAATATCAAAAAAGAATCTTAGTAGCACCAAAGTGAAACTTCTTTTCAGTCTCTTAAAGTTACTTAATTTCATACGGTGCTTGATGCAACAAATTCATTTAGAGAACCAATGTGAAACAAATGAGTGAATCACACATGGCGTAGGCTGGCCATGAAATAATACTCGACTTCATATTATATACCTTATTTTTAGTCTCTGCATTGTTGTGGTCATCTCAACTTATTTTCTCTACGTCGCTATTTATTTAGGGTTCAGCAGTAGTATGCAGTTATCATGCATTTGCAGGTAAAATATATTTATAAATTTTAACATTATGTTTATTCTTAGTATCATTCAATCAATGATAATGTAGAATTTTAACATGATATATTGTAGAATTTTAACATGATATATTGTAGAATTTTAACATGATATATTGATATTCATGTTCAAGAAGGAACTTACACCTTCAACGTTACATTAAACATCAAGTATTATTTGTGATTCTATAATTCAGACATGAAAGCATCTTTTATTATTGGCATGTCCATCTCGAGGAAGTTGCCGAGTGAAGTCACTAAATAATCAAACATAAGAATGGTGGTAGTTGAGACATATGGAATACCAATATCGAAGGTACTGGTATATTGAAGAAAGCTCTCTATGGATGATGCCTTTTTAAACAACAATGAAATCATGCAAAAATTGGAAAAGGTACATATATAGTCAATGTTGCAGAAGGGAACATAAATAATAATTTTTACCAACTTACCTCATTCAAGATGTTATTCATCCCAAATATTTTAGCAAGACTCCGTCATTCCCTAGCACGAAGCCTTGTGTGTCATTGATAAACCTGCAACACATCCCCTCACAATTACTGAAATGGAGAACAGATCCAAAAGCAGGAGATAACAGAATATTTTATGTATTTGTGGTCATTCATCTCAATCCAAATGATACAACTGAATGAATTAGTCAACTTGTGGGTGAATGGAGCTCACTTTACAGAATACAGATTTGCAGCGATGTTGTCAGCTGCCTTGTCCCGACTCCAGCTCTTCCCACTGTTTGTAGTTTTCAGCAGAATTCCACTGCCACCAGCAGCCCAAGCCTCCTCCTGCAGTCACATCAGCCAAATGAATGAGAAAAGGTTTTTTCTTGAAGTCATCATCTTGCTAAAATGTGCTAAACTGAATTATAAACTTTCATATCTAGGTTGCTAAACTGAAACATAAACTTTAATATCTATAATGTGCTAACTGAATTATATACTTCAATATCTATTCAGAATTGTGCTGGCCCCTTTTCGTTAGTAAGGACAAAAAGAGTGAAGAACAAGCAGACAAACAATAAAAATACTGTCAGCTATTTTTCCACATTCTAAGTCCATCTCAATTTTCCTGTCTTTGTCAGCAAAACAACAGCATTGACTGAGAGAAAGAGAGACAATGGCAACGAGGGAAAGAGAGGGAGACCATTTTTGCACCATCGCTATGTTCACAAATAACTGATTTGGCACTCTAAACGGCAATAACCTTATCTTAAACACTAGTAAACTTTTCAATTAGTTGCTCTCTCTAGTTCCTCCCTCTCCATTGAGATTCAGGTTATTAAAAAAAATTATATCTGATACTAGAAGATTTTGTTTCACTTGTATGAAGATGCAGAAAGATGCAGAACTGGAAAAATTAAGACCTGTAAATGTAAGTATGCATGATCATGCAAATAATTTAGGAGGAATAAAAGACGAATATTTGAAGGAATTTCCTTGAATGAAGTATTAATTAGATATTCAAAGTCCAGATACAGAACAAGTGATAGAATTGTCCACAAGAGTATCATCTGCTATAACAACCCGTCATGTCCTGCATAATGTACCGAACATTACTAAGGAGTTTATCCAGTATGATTAGTGCTTCCGAGTTTGAGAACTACCAAGAAACTTATTCCACAAAAACAAATGATGGACAATCTCTGACCAAGTTAAATAGTTAGTGAAGTGCCACTTTTAAGCTGAAAATTGCTTGAGAAGAATCTCAACAAGGCAGCTGAATCTTCTATGAGTGCCTAAAGGTTATCCTCTGATGGCTAAAGAATCATACCAGATATGAAATCGAGATGTAAAATGGGGAAAAATGAAAGAAGGAAAGACAACGGCTGCAAAATATATGCCCTACTTTGGTTACTGAAAATTTCTGCATTGAGGTAGAATTTAACAAAATCGTCGCAAAATAAACCCTAAGAGTTATTTGATCATTCTTGGTTATATAAATATTCATATTCACCGAGTCCGAAAGTAGTACTGATCTCTAAATGTCCAGAGGTTTAAAATGAGGAAACATAGGGCAAATCTGAAAGGTAGAAGATATATTCATAAGTATGAGCTCATGGAAAGAAAATCCAGGCATTGTTCTCAAACTTCTATTGGTTGATAAAGTTTGAAAAATAATGCTAAAGCCTAGAAATGGTTACAAGCTTGGGTTAAATTACAGTAAGCATTTTATTTTGCAACCATCACAATGCTATTTGCAATGGTCAGTGATTATGTTACTTTCTCAAATGCTGAAGAAAGACAGTTCAAATTACCACCACGTTAAAGATTCACAGATACCTGGGAGCGGTACCCAACATCAAGAACCCCAAATCCACGACTCTGCACAGGTATTTCCTCAAACTCCTCTGATATCTGAAAAATATTGGGAGTGAATATTGCATTACAAATAGAATGAACAAAATATCAACTGACCTATAATTCGATGAATGTCGCCAACTTACCCCTGTGCCCTTGCTAAGGTATAGCCCACCACCACGCACGAGAAGCCAAAGACCACCATCGGCTCTCCAGCCCATATTTTGGATTCTTCTTGCTACAGCCCTGTTATGTGGTTGCCAGAATGCCTGAGATAATTCTGTCACATAAGTTCTCCCAACTTCACAAGACATTAGAAAGAGAAACTTGAAAACTTAAACTGCACGATTAAGAAAATACAGTCCCGCTCACCTGCCCACCGTGGGCAGTGCCCACTTTTTTGTCTTATATGAAAAACGTATTCTGAGAATACGTTTTTCAATTAAATTTAATTGAAAAACGTATTCTCAGAATACGTTTTTCATATAAGACAAAAAAGTGGGCACTGCCCACGGTGGGCAGGTGAGCAGTTTCATAAAGGACAAACGACTTGTTATGATAAATTCAACAAAGTGGCTTACTTGCGACAACTACCCATATTTATAGCAACTAACGAGCTTTCTTATACTGCACCATTAAGAAAATAAAAGACAGCTGATCTTGTTATGATCAATTTAACAAAGTGGCTTACTCGTGACAACTTCTGATATGCAACTAGATAAATTTCGTGAACTTCACCATTAAGAAAATAAAGGACAACGGATCTTGTTATGATAATTTCAACAAAGTGGCTTACTCGCGAAATCTACCCATATAAAAAAGTACGGTATCAAACTACATTTCCCGCAGTTGTGTTCACGAAAATCTGGGAATCTCACCTGACCTGGTTCCCATGTTAAGTAGAAGTTACCACGGCTTGAAACAGCCACATAGTTTCCTTCAGGTGATCGGTTCACTGTACTAAAGGTGCCTGTGTAGTAGCTTGCACCACTAATACCACTTGAAACTGTTCTGCAACAGCATTGTGGAAGAAAAAATAAATTTATTGTTTACAAGTGAATTGCACACTCAGAAAACTGAATCACAATACCACTACAAAAGTTTCTCCAAGGCATTAATTATGCAGAAGTTAACTCTACTTTGTTGCAGACAAGATTAGACATTGAACTATAGTACATCATCACTGGTCCCTCGAGAAGGTAAAGTTGGGCGCTTTTTTCTTCCAGTGAATAAGGGGAAAAAAGGCAGGAAACACTTAATAATTATAGAAAGAGTAACACAAACACAATAAAACAGCTGGAACTGAGAAGGATGTAAAGTTGCAAACCAATGCAACAAACAATACGCAGTACATATAGTATTTCTAATCCCAAAAGCACATTTGTCAAATTTATATTATAGGAAGTAGAAATGCAATATCTTGTTATAGTGCAAAAGAAGAAGCCACATTTGGTGTAATATCTGCCATCTACAGGAAAGCAATCTCGTGGATTGTTTTCTAGGAAGTGGATATTCAGAAAACATCGAACGTGAAATGTATTTTGAATGTTTATAGGGAAAATGGCATGATGAATTTTTAAGAGCATGCTTGGATACAAATTTGATCAAAAAAAATCCAATCATTTTTAACTCAACCACTTTTCTCAACTCAACTTTAACTCAACCCAGTATCATCAATATAATTAAATAATATCAATCAATCAAACCACTATCATCAATATTATCAATATAATTAAATAATATCAATCAATCATTTTTACACACAACATCAACTTTAATTTACTATTCACCTACTCGCATAATTTTAACTAACCATCACATCACATCTTCTCTCTCCTACTTTTACATCAATTTAATTTTAATCATTTTATTTTAAAAATTATTTTAATATACTCACTAACAATTAACCATACCAACTTTTTCAAATTTAACCAGCCCAAACAAAAATCCAATCAAAACAAAACAAATTTATTTTCCCTAAGAGATTTCAGCAAAAGGTATCATGGCAATGTTATATTGTAACTAGTTTTATACCCAATTCAGATGTCTTGCCACGTCTTAAAAACGATGGAAGAAAGAAACCAAACATAGCATCACTTTATCATGTCTGTGCTACACATGACATTTATGTCTTTTAATTTATTTGATTTTAAATTTCACCTGTGTAATATAAATAAATATGATGAAATATTAATATTATTTTTATTCTATCTTACTTTAATATTATATATTTATAGTATTTTAAAGTACAAAATTTCGCAGTTTTTAAATATCAATTTAACATAATTTTTAATTTAGTGTTTGTAGCATTATGTTACCGATATTCTAATTATTATTGTTTATTGATTAATTGACATAATAGTTCAACAAACAACTCGTTAGTTACTCCTTTTAGCATCACATACTTAATATTTGGAATAGTTTTTTACACCCACTTTACATTTATTTTTAAGATAAAGATCCAAACCACCACGACACGGATATATTAAGATATTAGGCATGGCATTTTATGCCAATAATTCGCATAATGACTTGTCGGACGACCCACAAGTTTATCCATTTAAGGCAATGTTTTTCTAAACGGTATTAAACGTCGTTTAGACGGTAAACGACAAGGTAACGTGGAGTTTAGGGCCTGGGCGGGCAGCTGAATGGGTTTTCCGTCTAGACGGTCAAAGACGGGAAGAAACGTTGAAGACGGCCTAAACGGAACGGCGGCGAAACGGTTCTGGGCGCCGAAACGGCCGTTTCTCGTCGCGTTTAGGTGATGGCCGCTGGCCAAATCGATGGGCGCGGGAGCAGCAGGCGGGAAGGGAATGGAGTAGCGGGAAAGTTGGCGGGTGATTGAGAGAAATTTGGGGCGGGTATAAGTACCAGAGGCTAGGGCTAAGAGGAGATTTTCCCGTTCCGCTTCTTACATGTAAAATTGACATCTATATACGTACAAAACAGCTGAAACCTTGCTACAGTAACAAAACCGTTTAATCCGTAGACGTCGTCTAAACGGGGTCTACACACTCTAAACGCTAAACAGAGGGTCACCGCCCGTGTACCGTTTAGCGTCTAGGAAAACACTGATTTAAGGTCATGTATTTGATGCCTACTTTTATATTGTCAAATATATATTTGTAACCTATGTGGAAAAGATGTAAGAAACATAAAATTATTTCACATTATACTACGCTAAAAAGAATCATTGATATATATTTAAATTTTATTTTATTACCAACCCTTAGGATGTTCTTTTTTATAAATTGGTATTTATAGATAAGTATGAGCTTAATTTATTCGAAGAAAAAAAAGATTATTTTGATATATTATTTATAAAAAACGTGTAAAAAATGAAAGTATTATAATTTTTTATGCAAAGAAGATATGAATATTATATTTGAAATGCAAGAGACGAAGATTATTTTGATATACTATTTATAAAAAAAAAAAAGTTTATTTATACCAATATATCTATAAATTGGTATTTATAGATAAGTATTAGTTTAATTTATAAAAAAAAAGAAGGTTATTGTGATATATTTTTTTCTAAAAAACGGGTAACAAATGAAAATATTATAATTTTTTTATAAAAAGAAGATATGAATATTATATTTGAAATACAAGAAAAGAAAAAAGAAAGATAAATAGCATAAATATTTAAAATTTTGAAAGCAACAAAAAAGAATAAAAAATGAGATATAGATATTTAACTTATATAGCGAAATAAATTTATACATTAAAAAATAGTGTAGATGAAATCAAAAAGAAAAATAAAAAATACAAATTTTCAATTTTAGTATACAAAAAGAGAGGTAAAAACGTATGCTAAAATTAGCCTGCCTTATTCTTATTACATATATGGATGTGTTCATACATCAACACAATTGCTCAAGTATTTATGTGTTCGTACGTTTACATATTCTGCATAAAGATTTAAACGAGACAACCGTAGAGGTTTTGGGCTAGCCCTAGCCGATTTCGGGTTAAAGGGTGGGGCCGAAAAAAACTCTTATATAAATGAATACGAAAATGCAAACCTAAACTAATGCTAACATGCTTTGAGCTAAAATTGGCCATTTGTAAAAAGAATAATAATAATAATAAAATTAAAAAATAAATTTACTAATAGTAATGTAAATAATTAAATTTAAACATACAAAATAATTAATTCTAAATAGGTATGTTTCATTTTAGTTAAATTGCATTAATAAAGCAATAAAATTATAGTTTTATAAAATAATATTGACGTATAATAAATGTTTCCCATTATATACCAAATGATCAGTTCTATTTACACTTACGAAAACAATTAAATATAATATGACAATAATTATCAAAATAAAAGAGCTAATTGAGTATCACAAAATGAACAAATAAATAAAATTATCTTTCTCCTATAACAAGTAATAAGTAAAGGTGTTTAATCGTATATTAACTAGTGTGTAGCCCATGCGACGCACGAGAAAATCATAATAAAAGATTACATAGATGTACAATTATCAATGTAATACAAAAGTGCTATTTTCATAAGTATAATTGATTAAAATGCATGTAAAACATAAAAAAAAAATCATGACTTTAAGTCAAAAAAAATATATGTTATGTGGAGTCAATAATTCAAACATCAAATTAACAAACAACTTATTAACTTATCGTTTACTATCATGTACTTGGCGTTTTAACATAGTTACTTACATAAATTTTTTATTTAAATTTGAATTGTAAAATAATAAGAGATAACATGGTTAATTTTTTTTTAAAAAAAAAAGGATATTTTAACCAATTTTTTTTTAAATATGATAAGTTACCGCAATTGGAATATTTCCAAATTTAAAAATTTTATAAATAGTATATTTCTATTTTTAGCATGTGTTTAAACTTTGGTAATCTCTTTATGTTAATAAAGATTAAAACGGGCTAGAAGGCCAGCCTTAACTTGTTCAGGCTAGACGATCAAGGCAAAAAAAATCCTGGATTTTTAAATGGGCAATGGGCTGGAAAATAGATGATCTAACCCTATTTTTTTAGATATATGGGCATGGCCCAATGAACATCTATACTTATTGGCAAATCCCTCCTCTAGATCGGAAACAAAGACCAAGCATACATAGTAGGGCAGCAAATCTAGGCAAGACCATCACTCGGAAAGTAAAGTAGTTGAGATACTGCCGACTCACCGATTGAGGGTAGCTGAAACAGTCTCCTGAACAGCAGCCTTCCAGTTGTATCCTCCATTTGATGTTACATATATTGCACCTTGATCAGTTACCATTTCTGCACCCTTTTCACCAGTGGCTTTTATATACACCTGCAATGATCAATAACAAAATTTCTTGCTTATTTAATTGAAATTACTGGGTGTATATCCTTGCCATTATCTTCTACCAACAACTTATTATGGATACATAAAATATTTGCCAAACTAAAAAGAATTAACGGATAAAGGAGGTGACCAACATTTCTCTAACTTTACATGAACTAATGAATTAATGGCAAAAAAACCTATAAACCCTCATAACAAAGTTAGACAGAGAATATCAACTAAGAAAACATAATAAGACAGTAAATCTAGTACAAAGATTTATGACATGTTACCATATCACCAGGAAGTTGAGCACTTAGTGGTACGCGCTGCCAAGTATCTCCAGCATCCGCAGTATGTAACAAAATAGCCGGTTTGCCGACAATCCACCCTTCCTTGCCCTTGAAGCTGATAGAGTTGAATCTATAATTGAAATCTTCATCTTCGGCGGATGGTATGGAACGTGGAGTCCAAGTGCTCCCTCCATCTTTGGTCTCCAAGATAGTTTGTCTGGTCCCCAATAGAAAACCTGCCAAAACTCATCATTGTTAGGCTTTATCTGAATGTATCATACAAAAAAGATACATCTGTAAAAGGTGTCTCAGTTCACAAATAAAGGTGCAGAGTCCAAATTCCAACAATGCAAGACTCAAACAAGTTAACAATTTAACGGGGTGACATATCAATTACTTCAGCAATTACAATAATAAAACTTCTTTCAATAAAAAAAGAAAGAGAACAAAATAAAAAGGAAGAAGTTCTGAAAAAGGAAACCATGGGATGGGTCGTCGGGGACGAAGGCTATGTCCAGAAGGACAACGCCAGGGTCAATAGGCAGGTAAACTCTTTCCCACTCGGAGAGGGGCTCGTCGGCGGCCAGTGCCTTTTTTCCCAGTGGCGAGAGTGAAATGGCGGCGGCGGCGGCGGCATGAAGACCTATCAACCCGCGGCGGCTAATTGGATTCGCTGGCGCCGGAGGAGGAGACTCGCGGGCGGCAGAGGCGGACGGGAGCAGCGAACGGCGGCGGAAACTGGAGGAGTGAGATTTAGGGGGCGATGGAGTGATAATGGAGGATGAGGAATGCGAGAGGGTGAGCTGCTGAATTGCGGCCATTATTAGGCAATGGCTCTCTCACTAGATTACACACAGTACACACAGTGCGCTAACTTCTTATCCGAACTCTGATTTCGTAATTCAGTTGTTTTTATTTATTCATTTGTTTTCCTTTTTTTCCCAACATTTGCTCCACGTCCCCAAATTACCTCTGGCCATGTGGATACGCTTGGAATGAGAATTCAATCCCATTTATTTTGATTTTTAAATACATTTTTTTTTTTTTACATTTTGCAACCTATTTTAATTTCATTTACAATTTTTTGCATTTTGTACTCTTCTCTCTTCTTGCTAGATCTGGCGGTGTTACCTCTTTTAGAGTCACATCGTTCCCTAAGGTTGGGGTGGCCGGTCTTAGCCGGCGTGCTGGGGAGCTACTTGTGGGTCTTTTGATTTTTGGATGGTAATGTGATTGTTGTTGGATTTGTGTTGGGAGAGGTGATATCCCAAAGCAATTTCCTAGGGGTGGCTCGCGAGAAAGTTGGATTCAGATTTTTTTATTCGGGTCGAGTTAGCCTTAGCCTTCTGAGTCTCGGAGTTTGGAGTTTCGAGGCTTGTATCTGTGGCTTGATCTTGCTTTTTTTGGTATATCTTTGGTTATCTTTTGCTAGGTAGGGTGTTCGTCTCTGGTCGGCTTTATTCTATTGTATAGTTTAGGTGTGGGTTTGTTGTTTTTTGCTTGTTTTTGTATTTCAATCCAATTGTGTCTAGATTTTAGTCTTTTTTTATGGAGTTTTATGTCTCCTTTGTGAGGTTTGTGTTTTGTTTGCGGGTGCTTGAACCCCCTTCGTCGCTTGTGTAATTCCAATGGGGGTTGGTCCAGACGGTGTTCTGGTTGAAATGTATCATTTGACATTCGGGTGTACTCTTTTTGAGTTTTTCAGTTTATAATATATTTATCATTTCGGAAAAAAAAAGTCCAAATTTTCTACTTTCAAACTCTTTAAACGGATTTCAAACTCCTAGAGCGGACTTGTAGAAATTGATGTGTTGTTACATCTCAACACAGCTCCCCAAAGCCCCTCGATCAATATACTATTCGGAGACCTGCAAAGACGTCGGGTGGTGTTCTCGGCGTTAAACCTCTGACGATCAAGTTAGTCAGATGATATAGAAAATTGTTTGGAAATATACGGAAAGTTTAGAGTATATGAAGTGCGATTAATCTTTACCTTCTACAAATTTTACATATTTATTGAAGATCACTGGCTTCCTGAACAAGCCTCTGCGCGATTGCCCCAGCAGCCCAAAGGGGCTGCCTGTCGGTTACTAGACTATCCGTAGGTTGGCCATCAGTTATTTGGTTCTACTCTCGTCCATTCGATTATCTATCTCTTTTATTTATGACCTTACATGTGTCCTTCACTAACAGTATGTACTCGACCTACTATGTCAGCCAATCCATTTTCTATTCATGTTAGTTACCATAACATCATGTCTGAGCTATCACATGTCCGAGCTCTTATTGTCCATGCTCCTTAATGTCTTAGCTGAGAATATACCAAAGCTGCTCGAGTTCTTCTAATGTCCGAGCTCCTAATGTCCAAGCACGAATATACCTAAGCTGCTCGAGCTCTTTTAATGTCTGAGCTCCTAAATGCCCGAGCTACGAATATATTTTAAGCTGCCCAAGCTCTTTTAATATTTGAACTCCTTAATTGTTCGAAATATGAATATGCATAAGCTGCACAAGCTACCTGAGTCCCCATACTGTTGAATCAATAAACCTAGCTAGTCTTCAACCGATAGTTTAAGTTGGTTGCGGCTAGTTCAAACGAGCTATCTTTATGTGTTATATCATCTAGTCCCTCTATTATCAAACGAGCTATTGTTCTCCGAGCTCAATAGACTTGTTTGATAATAATGACAAACTTTGCAGGCCTACTCGCACAACGAATTATATCTGACACGAATCTGTAGAGGTGTGTCTCGTACATCGCGCATGTTTTTTCGCTCGTCCCATTTGTCATTCTCCTCGTGTTCTGCACCCAGGGTTTGGATCTTCGTTAGTCGTACAATTAGTTTAGTTTTTGATATGGGATATTATATACACAAGGCTAAACCGGTCTGCTGGGCCGGTCGAGAAGGTTAAACCAAGAGGGAGCCAAGCCAAAAGGCGGGAAGATCAAACATTCAGGGAATCGACCAGGCAGGTGGTCGACCAGTCCACCGCACGACCAGACTAACGATCGAGCAACCCATCGCTCGACTAGATACATGATCGAGCAACCTATTCGACCTCAACAGGTCGATCGCTTCGAGGAACTAACAGTCGGCCTAGTCATGGGCGCGTGTATCACGGGCGCGCGTAAGAGCCTCCAACTGAGTCCCAGGAGAATATTTACCCCATGTGCAGGGGGGACACGTGTCGACAATATATTGGGTGATAGCGATAACAACCTCTGACAGCTCCCAACGCCCCGCGCCACCTCTGACATGTGCGCGGCGTGCCAGAGTACGGACGGGCAGCTTGGGCAGCCACCTCATCCTTATCCGGGCAGCTATTAGGGCAGGTATCTGACCCCTATATAAAGGGGGTGAGCCTTTCTCCTTGAACACATTCTATTTTCCATACTTCACTTCAGTATACTCATACACATACTGACTTAAGCATCGGAGGCTCTTCACCGGACACAACCCCCGGTGTGAGAGTTATTTGCAGGTTTCCGGCGTTCTACCGGCAAAGACCCAGATCTATCCGTTCAAACCGGACCAGGACGCTTACACTTGTATTATTGGCGCCGTCTGTGGGGATTCTTTGTTCAAAAAGTTGTGTTTGAAGCTCAGCTATGGCGGACGGAATTCTTAAAAACTTGCAGTCGACGTTCGATGAAGCTTGGACGACGACCAGGACGTTGGGGCACGGCCCTCCTCTGGGATTTTCCGGCCCATCGCAGACTCCGGTCACCCCCGCACCTAACTTTCAAGGTGTATGAGTGACGACGGTGATTCCCGGAGGAGATGCCAGCTCCAGTCAGGTCCAGGAGGCTCGTGTAGCAGCAGCAGCGGCGATGCCACCACCACCACCACCACCAGATCCAACACAAGGGCAGGGAGGAGTGCTGGCGCAAGGAGGAGTGCCGCCACAGGCAGCCATACAAGCCCCCGGCCAACAAATGGTGGCGATGACCCGAGAGGAGATGTAGAGGATAGCGGCGGCCGCGGTGCAGCAAGTTGCGAGTCATACATCTCATGCCACCACTGCGCCGACCACGGTGGCCGGAAGCCAGGATGAGGATGTGTCTAGTTATGGAGAAGGAGGAGCTGGAAGAGATCGGGCAATGGAGAGGATGGCGGAGCAGTTGCGCCAGCTGCAAGACAAGGTGGAGGTAAGGCACGAGAGGAGAGCTCGAGGACATCCCTTTTCAAGGGAGATTCTCGCTGCTCCTTTGCCAAACAATTTCAAGGAGACCAACTTGGTGTATGACGGGTCATCTGACCCATCGAGGCATGTGAGGACCTTTGAAAATATGGCTGTGTTGCATGGGTACTTTGATTCTGTTTGTTGCAGGACATTTTTATCGACCCTGCGTGGAGGAGCACTTGATTGGTTTCATCAACTTCCCCCTGGGTCGATCGCGAGCTTTGAGGACTTTACCGGCAAGCTTATCAATCAATATTCGAGCGCGGTGGTGCAGGAGAAAACGTATTTGACTTTGATGGCGATGAGGCAGAGGGAGAAGGAATCATTGAGGAAGTATGTTGCTCGATATAACCAAACATGTTTAGAGGTGCACTCGGCTTCGGACGAGGTGAAGGCGGGTGGATTGATAAGGAGTCTCGAGCAGGGCCTTGTCGAACTTCCCTGGCAAAAACCCCTGCTCGATCATATGAGGATGTTCTGAAGCGGTGCAGGAAGTATATTAACTTGGAGGAAATGGAGATGGAGTTTGCAAAGTTGGAGGGAGTGGCTCGACCAGAGCCAAAAAAGGAGAAAAGTCCGCAGAGAGGGAGACCGCCGAGGAGGAATTCGCCCAAACGGAGTGGGCAGAAGAGGGCATCACCCCGAAGAGAGAGTCGAGATTTGAAAAGGGAGAAGAGAGATGAGTGGCAAAGGAGGCCGATGTTGTTCGAGAGACAGAGATACCACACTTTTACGCCCTTGAGGAAAGACATGACAGAGGTCCTCGAGGCCATGGAGCAGAAGATGCCGAGTGAAGATGTGACTTGGCCGAAGATGAGGTTTACAGGTCCAATTCGACCTAGGTCGGATATTTACTGTCGCTTTCACCGAGATTATGGTCACACCACGGAGAATTGCAGACATTTGAAAGATGAGATCGAGAGGCTGATTCGAGCGGGATATTTGAAAGAATTTGTGTATCATGACAGGGTGAAAGAGAAAGGAAGAAGAAGGTGTAGGGAGGATTCAGAAGAAATGAGTGATAGAGATGAGGAGGGAGATGGCAGAGATGGTCGAGACGGTCGAGGAAAGAAGCCAGGGAGAGATAGCGATAAGGAGAGGCATGGAGGAGAAGCCCCGGTGAAGAGAGGGACGATTTACATGATTTCCGGGGGGCCAACGGATGGAGACTCGAATAGGGCCAGGAAGGAGCATGCTCGAGCTGTGAAGAGGAAAAGAGAGGAGGTGGGGATTACGACTTGCATGCCGGTCATAAGTTTTAAAGCGGAGGATGCCGAGGGAGTGGTCCTACCGCACAACGACGCTTTGGTGATAACCGCGGAGGTTGTAGGCTTCGACGTGAAAAGGGTGTTTATTGACACCGGAAGTTCGATGGACGTGATGTTTTATGACTGTTTCGTGCAAATTAACAAAGAGCTGAATACGGAGTTGAAACCGATAACCACGGCACTCTATGGCTTTAATGGAGGGGAGGTGATGCCGATGGGTGAGGTGAGTTTGCCAGTGGCGCTGGGAGTGGGCGAACTGAGAAAGGTGCGCATGGTGAGGTTTGTGGTCGTAGGGGCTGAATCATCTTATAACATCATTATGGGGCGGACGAGCCTAAACGCGTTCCAGGCGGTCGTATCCACGTACC